GATTATTATTATTATTATTATTATTATCTACACTCAGTCCTCACTGAGCGAGGTGGCACTTATTCCACAAGTCACCCAGAAGTAAGACATTTTTCTGACTTCTTTTACTTGTTGCTACCTCATTGTAAGATTATGCTTTTTCCCTTGTACTCCATTCCATTAGGTTAAAACCCCATTCACGTAAACGCACAGCCCACCAATTATGAAATCCAACCAACCTGCTCTAGCAAATGAAGGGGAAGCTCTTGCTTCCTCTCCCTCCCATCCCCATCCCCAGATAATTCATCTAACTAAACACCTCTGCAGCCATACTACTAGTGGGTTATTCCAGTCACTCAACTTCCATTTATATATTTTAGCCTTAATAAATCTTTAAACATATTCCCTGCTCTTCACATTGTGCCCAAACATTGTTTGCCTTCTTATTATCTCACGTTGCAACGGTGTTTCCCCATATTCCTCCACCTTCAAGGTTAAACAGTTTTTTTCACCTATATGTGCATTATTTTGCATTTATCCACATTAAACACCATTTGCCAATCAGTCCAAGTGCTGATCCTCTTCAAACCCTTTGAATAATGCCTGTCTCCATTATTCATTTTTCTTCCCACACAGTTGCATTCAACTCATTTTGAAGTCAATTTTAAACCCCTTCATCCAGATTATTTATGTAAATGGTGTAAAGCAGCAATGCAAGCAATGATACAATCGAACTGCACCAGTCACTATTCTCCCTGAACCAGTAGAGCAATAACATACTCATTTTGCTTCAATGTATTGTTTTGAATGCGTCATGACTCCTGTGTCACAGGCTAAGACAGGGAATCAACACCTGAATTCTCAACACTACTCAACTTCACAATCACTGTTGGGTTATTCAAGAAAAGTGATCACTTGAGCAACTAACCAAATTTTAGCATTAAGGTAGAAAGTATCCACAGGCCAATCACTCACGTCCATCCTAGTGTCCAACTGAAGATAGGCAAAGGAAAGGTATTGGAAGTGTGTTTGACGTAATGCTGCATTACCTGGTAGAACCTGAAAAGTGAGAAGAAAAATAAATTAGGAGCTCCCTGCATTGGTTCACCTCATCACATCACAATCATAACCTTAGATTGGGAAATAGTAGGGATGCTACAAGTTACTTCCAAATACTGGACTAAGTAATGGAAAATAAGCCAGGATAGGTTCGAAAAATTTGTTCGGTTATCACTACAACTGGAGAGGGTTAAGGAAGCAATTTAATAGAAATCCAAGAAGCCTTCAAAATTCTGAAGGTTTTGAGAGGATAGCACAACATTTCTGCTGATTGATAAATCTGTGAAAAAAAAGGCATGAATTCATGATTGTCACTGGAAGAGTTAAGAAGGAGGAATGATAATGGTAAGGCTGGATGTTGGGACTAATAGGATTTATTTATACTTGTGTAATATTCTGAGTGCCAATGAGTCACAGATTTAGAAATATGGATTGGCTCCAAGACAGCCTATTGATGTAGACACTTATTGGAATGTAGCTGCTTAACCACTTCCAGCTTTAATTCCTGCTAATAGGAATTTCAAGAAGGCAAACAAAATTATACAAAATTTCATGAGTTATCAAAGTGCATTCCTATCTTGCTGATCATAATCCTCTTGACTAAAACAAGATATAAGTAATAATAGAAATTATTTTTTTTATATCTTCTATCACAATGCTTTATGACAGCACTGAAATTGGGAAATGTATTGCAATCATCAGCAGGACACAGACATTTCACACATGTGCCTGCCATACTATCGGTTCATCGCACTTGAGAGATAAATTCAACTATCACTGCTTGTCATTGATCATCCTCAATGGAACCAAATGTAATCACGAATGTTAACTGTCTGAGCAGAACTAACCAAAATAGCTATCTGATTCGCAATGCATCCTTTAAGAGATTACAAGAAACTCTGATAAGCCCACACAGAAACAACCCCACATCAATTTTCTTACCAGCCAAATATAGAATATTTCAGCATGTGATTTGAGTTAAAAAATCTACAATTTACTCACTATTTCCCTTTCGCACACATTTTTTGTTATAACAGTATTTCAACATTCTTCAACCTCATAAGTTTTACTCAGTTTTAGTGAAACTCAAGTCAACTGAATGACAAAAGTGATTAGGTTTTAACCATTATAACTGTACTAGTTAATTCTCATGGGCAATTTTTGCAGCCAGACTGTTGTTATTTTTTTAACCACAAAAACAGGCCTGTTTTATTTCATATGGAGTTTATCTTCCACTTGCCCATTGTATTTTCCTTGAGTGGAGGCACTGCAAGTTGAGTCAGTCTTATTACTTAATGTAGGTGTCTGCCACGTGCCAATCGCTGCCACTAATGCGATTTTACAGTGGATAAGAATGAAAAATAAAGAAATATTTCCAGTAGCGACTGGTGTGTTAGATTCCATTATTCAATAAATCTACAATAAGCATCAGCATGGAATGTAGACTTACATATACGCCCAG